AAAAGAAAGAGTCGTCACTGCCACTCTGTGAGTTCCCCTTATGTTTCCAATATTTTGATCCCTTAGACAAGAGCCTGATCACTGTCTCGTTTGTATGTATATAAATATATTATGTTGCATGTTTTCGAGAAGTGTTGAGATGTTTTTCGCTTTGTTTGTAATTTTTTGAGCTGCTTTAAAAAGAAGTTGCTCCTTTTGATTGCTACTTACTTGCTCGAGATGTGTTGAGATGTTGTTCAATTGTTTGTGATTTTTTGTATATTTCGATATTTTTGAGGTTTGTCGAGATGTTTCGAGATGTTCCACATTTTTTGCTGAAAACGATGTTACAGTAACAATATGTTTCTCCTGTCATGAAAGTCCTCCATTCCCAGACTTCTCAATCTATAGGTGATTGATTATTTTGGTGATGTTCATTTTCGCAGCAATATATTAATTTCTGCGGATCAGGACTTTCTATTCTGCAACACCTTCTTTCGTGTGGGGTACAACTCCAAGCTCCCCAGGGTGCCGGCTGTTTTCGACAAGAAAGCAATTAGACATGCTATCCACTTGGTGTCAACAATCGGAACGCAGTCGGTTTGGCAGAAGGAATTATATGCAGGAACCGAAGCTGTGCATGCTGCATTGTGGCAACTCCACACGTTCTCAGCTTACCAGCTGATCTAGCTCTACGGTGCAGGAACTACCGCTTGACATCCGCTGCTATGGTGCAGCGATTACAATTGACGGAGTTCATAGTTTTTAAAGATGTTTCTGTCCTTTTTTGTATATTGTTTCACCGTTTGTGGTGTGCTAGCTTTCTGTTGGCTTTTGGTGGCCTTCGGCTTTCGGTGGCTTTTGGTGGTGTTGGCTTTTGGCTTTTGGAGGCGTGTGTAGGCTTTTCGTGGCTTTGGTTGGCTTCTGTTGGCTTTTCGTGGTTTCATTCACTGATATTGATATTGGGGATATATTGTTTTAAGAGGCCTAGCTGTGGGAAGGAAAGAAGGAAGGAGGCAGTGGTGTCGTGAGCGCAGAAGTCATTCCATTGCAGCACACCGGTAAAATGTTGGAAGAGGCAGAGGCAAGCGCAAGGCAACAGACCTAGTGTGAGCCACTCGGAGGTAAAATTTAGCGGAGGCAGGAACCACTCACATCTGGCGTAGTTTTGTGCAGTTTCTTCGTCATTTGTGGGGTAGGGAATGGTGTTTCAACCCGTATCCATTTTTGGTCCTGCAAAAAAACATATCATATATACAGTTGGGGCCACACACATTTCCCATACATAACCTTGTTGAATCCCTGAACTTGTTGTGTCTTTGTGTGGGCCACTAGACATCTTAGGATCCCAACGTTGTGGAGGGGCCATTGGTAAAGGCCACCATCACCAACGGTCAATGACCACAAGATACGTACACCCCCTTTGGTTCCTGAATATTCGGGACCTGACCAGGATGGACCTGCAGCAGACCAGCATTTTGGTGGGGCCATGGGCCATCTCTACGTTGGTCATAGCGTAAGGTCATTAGTTCCAATTGAAGGATGATTGGGTGACTGTGGTCATGGGTTCACTTAGGCACAGAGTGGGACATCTATGTAAGACCACACACGGCGCTCCAACTCCGCCTGAGGAGCCACCGGGGTCTCAGTCTCTACGCCTGCGGACCTTCCAACTTCCTTTCAACCCCGGAGGCATCGCCCCGCTTATCTCTGTGGGCCCGGCAAGTCGGTAGTGATGGGAAGAACCGAATTTCCTCGTCGGTCCAATCACAAGTGTTCTCCACAACTCCACCTTTGGAGAAACATGGAAAGACTGAGTTTCCGTGACTCACGCGGTAGACAGACAGCAGAGTAAATGATGGTTCCGTTGAGCTCAGTCAAATTCCCAATCAACTGCAAATTGCAGCTACAGTATATTCACATGAAATGTGTGTTCAGTTTGTCATAATGCATCATAATACTGCCTCATTCTCTCGAGTAGTTTCTCTTGACAATCTGCCAGCCTCCTTTGAGACTATTGTGTATGGAGTAAATATGAGTAAATCCAGGTTACGTTCCTAAAGTGCAGGGATAAGAAAGCGTGAATATGGGGTTCTCATCAAGCCATTGTGCGGACCTTTCCTTCCAGAATGGCAGACAAGATTAATTTGCTGATAACAATTGCAGCACTCGAGCACGGGAGATTTGTTGGTCAACATCCAATCAGATTGTCGTACGAATTCTCCACATCCACTGGATGGTCAACGCCCAGGGTCCATCATCAGTGGCGCTTACTTGGGACAGTTGTTGGGAACTGAAGAGGGCAGGCTACCCAAGAGGTGAAATAGCACGGTTTTGATTTTGTTGATGTTCCTGTTCATTCCGAGTTTGCCCCTCCCCTGGCACGCTAAAAAAACGAGTGATATCACGTGTTGAATCCGCTCCAGGCATTGCAGATGGCAGGCTTGTCCTTGGCGACCCGTCAGGCGCAAAAGCGTCGCAGAATTGCGTGTTTGTAGGAACCTGTGGGACATGTTTGCAAGAAAGGTTCGCTTGTTAGTCTTCTTCCTAAAAGCATCTAAGACCAGTTCGGGATAGTTGAGAAAACAGCAGGGGGAGAGCTGTACTGTTGCAGGTACCGCCTGCAGAATCCTCGAAATTGCGAGTCCAACGTCCACTCGTCCTATCGAACATTTGGGGCCTCACCACGATGGAAAGACCCAGCTTATCCCAGCTTCCACAAACAGCAAAAAGTTTTGAAGATGCTGCCTTCGTTACTCATCAAGCGGCTTGATTTGGTGCATTGTTCATGTCAGACTGTCAGACATTTTTCGGGTGTTCGTTGGTGACAACTCGGGGGACAGAGCCACAGAGCCACCAGCTGAAAACTTCAATCACCCTCAGATCCATGATGTTTACGTGATCGACTGGAAAGGTGGGAGGGTTCTGTTCGAAGTTGTGGAACAAGGTTCGCTACGAACGTCACAAAACCCTAGGAGCAAGGACGCTACTGGCTCTTGGCCTTACTACTAGGAGCAAGAAGCTACGAACGTCGCAAAGCGCTACGAACCGGAGCGATCGGACGCGAACGGGGCGCTGGCCTTTTGGATGGACGATCTCCTTCGCTCCCGAGGCCTCGGTGCCTCGTGGGAGCCTTCTACCTTGCGAAGGTGCGGGGACAGAGCCTGGTGGGTTTCAGTGTTGCCATGGCTTGCGGGTGTTGGATGGTGTATTGAAAAGGGTGGGTCACCCGAACTAGAACCAATAACTTGAGACCTCGCTGATATTCCAATACCCAGCGAGACCAAGAGTTCCGCGCCGGTTTGGTGGGAGAACCATTTTGAGGCAGGGCGAATTGGCACAGTGACCAACGTTTTGCCAGCAACCCCTCCGTCGTGACCTGGGCACTTGGTTGTGGACAGGATCGAGTATCCTCCAGAGTGCAAGGTGTGTCATCTTCAAGCAATTGGTCGCATGAGTGCCTTTTGCCTTTGGAGTATGCGCAGCTGCTTGGGCTTGTGCTGCTCACTGTTTAGCCATAACATCAAAAATCTCTTTGAGCTGATGAAGAAGGGCGCAGCCACACCTGAGGCCAACAACGTGACAGGAGACATTGGTTGCTGAATGGCCCTGAATGCAATCCAGAGTGCCACACCAACAACACAGTCTTTGCCCCCATTCGCCTGCCTGATAAGGTTGTTGCCCCAGAAAAGTTGCTGTTGCTTGCTTGGCTTCTGTTTGAGGCCTCCATAATATAGAAACCAGAGTGTAATTGATAAGACCTGGAGGAGACTTCATCACAGTATTTCGTTTGGGGTAGCAAGGCTTAGTAAGGATCTGGACCAATCATCATGCACCAATGTTCTGCGCCTGAAACAAAAGTCCTAGAGCGTTCACCTTGAAATTCAACCCAATTGAACATAGTCATCCCATGCAATCAATTCTTCTTGAGAAAGCATCATTCATGAGCAGAGGTCCTCTCAAGTCTGCAAAACTCACCATAGGCTTGTTTTCTATCACCTGCTTACTCGAGCTCCACCAGGGTGGCAGTAGTTCAGTAGAGGACCACCACGTGTTTTCATTCAATTTTGCTTCATGTTCGGGTTTCGTTTGGAACTCACGGAATTTGGATTCCTCGTGGTGTGGACGATGTCCACGCCCGAGGCCTCCGTGAACGCTTCGTGGCCTTTGCCGATGCCGTGCTTTTGCCCTTAGCGCAGTTCTTCCAGGCCAAGATGAGATCGGATGGGTCGGTGTTTGGTGATAGGATGTGGTTGCATGAATATCCATGGATTTATGATTGTGAAGATGAGGGCCGTTCACGGGGTATCTACCTGAAGCCTTATCTAGTTTGAACTCCGCTGAACATATCGCTGTACTTTGCAGTTCGGAAAGCAGCTATTCGGGACTAATGTCATGCCAGATGATACCAGGTTACTTTTTCAGCTGGTTGGGTTGGCCCATAAAATATGTTTCATTGAATTCGATTGGCTCGAAAGCATGTCTTCCAAACTGGGCGAGTTCGACTTGGCTCGATGATCCCTCCAGCTTTCCGATAGTTCGACTCACATGATTTGCTGGTTTCATCCAAGATGTTCAAGGCACCTTTGCAGGGCTAATCTGCATAAGGGAAGCACTCCGCACCCAAATGATGTTTGTTGAAGTCTGTGTGCACAGGTTGGCCAGCTTTATCTGACAAGGCCATTGGCGCCCAGCCCCGTATGCCACGGGTGGCAGGCGCAGACCATGGCCAACTGGCATAGAGAAAGCGCCGGTGGGTGGCAGGGGATTAGCAAGGCTAAGCCCGCGTACCAGAAGCCCTCTTCTTTACCCTTTGTGTGTGCGTGCAGCATGCCGGGTCCTGTCGCCAGTGGGGTGGCAGCTCGATTGGCCAGGCAGGCAGTGAAGCTGCCGATTGAGAGAAGTTGGCGTTGGCTTGCTGGATGCAGTGATTTGTGTGTGTACAGGATTTTCGCCAGATTTTTGTCGGAACTGAAAGATAGGCCTCTCACCCAGTTGGCCTTTATTCTCAAAGACAGAGCGCCGTCCACACTCCGCAAGCACGTAGGTGGATGGCAGAAGTGGATGCGGCTTTGCTGCGATTTAACTATCCTTGTCAGCCATCCTGATGCCCAGCAAGCAGTTCCTGGATTTCCTGGAGGCTTTGGCGGCAGGGGCGCGGGAAAATCGAGGTGGGCAACCGTGTGGCTGGAGCCAAGTCGGTGGTGCATGCCCTCAAGCTCATCGCCCAGAGGAACCCATAGGCTTGGACTGCAGCATTTGGGAGAACAGCTAGACGGGCCGATTGTTTCCAGCTGGGTGCGCACAGAGAGGTGGCATCGGCAACCCATGCACGAGGCATTGCCTTTGTCTTTGTTTGTTGCCTGCGAGTTGGAGCAGGCAGCGGCGACTGGGCCCCATCGAGACTGGTTCCTGGTCGGGTGCTTCCTTCTCATGGCTTGGAGCAGCTGGAGGCTTTCAGACATTCAACGCCTGGATTTGTCTTCAGTGCATAACTTCGATGCCATACGTGGCTGGGTCTGGCGGAGCAAGACCAGACCCACAGGCTTTGCATTAGAGGCAAAGTGATGGTGTCTTCCTTTTCTTTTTTCCTTGTTCCTGATTTTGATAGCGATGGTCTCCAACCTAATAGCAATGGCCTCCAACCTAGTAGAGGCCAAGTGATGCACGCAAAGGTGCCAAGTACCAATCAATCAACAAACCATCACCTGTTTGACAGGCACACTCCGCAAAAAAGAAATCCGCATAAGCAAGACAAAAAATACAATATTTGCCGAAACTGGTTACAAAACCAAATTTCCAAATTTTTCGCTTTGCTGACGTGCCTCCGAGGATGCTTGCTGATTTTGCAGCCCGATTGCCTCTGCCCTTTTTTGCCACAATACAAAAACGGAACAAATTGTCGAACATAGACTGTAATAACACATAGAAAGGACGACATGATTCAACATTTAATTACCTTGTTGGGCACTGTTTGCATTGTGGCCCTCATTCGAGGATGTTGTTTGGGAACCTGTGCCAGTTAGCGCATAGAACCATTCCAAAAATGCACAAAAAGCATCAAACAGCTTAAAAATCAAGTCGTGATCTAGATAAAACACTGCGGTACTACAAGCTTAAAGTAGCCAGCGAAGACATATCAAAAACATACAAGAATTCTGATTGCACCATATTGCACCCACCCAGCATATTCCACCCATGTGTCTCTTTGGAGCGCCAAGGAAGTTCCGGATGTGCAACCAGCATGAATCCATTCTTTCCACATGAGATTTTCTGAATCGGTAACCCCCCCTTAGAATTCGCTAGCCATTAAACACCCCCCCCTTAGGGTAGGGTGATCAACTTTGTTGACAAGAATCAGTATACAAGACTTCTTTTTTCGCCGTCGTGCACATGATGGCCATCCGCCGTTTAGAGACAAAGTGCTGCGCCTGCCTTGAAATCGGCACTTCGAGGTTCACAAAGTGCTGTGCCTGCCACGAACCTGCCACGAAATCTGCACGGCCCGGTGCATCTAGTGTGTGCCAGTCTGATGCCAGTGTCGCCAAAAGCCGGTGGGAGTTTCGGGCGGGAGTGATGGGGTCCGTCAGTTGAGTCTGACTCAACGCACCTGGCAAGCGAGGTGCCCAAAGAGAGCCTGGCAGCAGGAGTAGGTCCTGGCATTGGTCGGGCGCTAAGCGACAAGTCGACCTGCTAAACGGTGTGTATTCTGGCTGCCCACAAGAGTCGTCGTAGTTCATTGGTGACCAAGAATCGTTGGTGGATCTGTCTATTTTGAGAAAGAGAGCAGATAGGCAATAGTGTGTGGATGTTCGATAAGTTCCAAGGGGGTTGGCAGGCAGACACAAGCCCAAGCCCCGATCCATGTAGAAAAGAGTGAAAACCCAACCACCAACTGGCTCAAGACCCATGCCGCAGGAGAGACCAGAGGCATGTGAAATGTTTGCAATGCTTGCATGTTCCCAGCAGTTCTTTGGATGGGCATTCAACGGGCATCGATCTTTACTCACAAGCGAAATATTCAAATAGAATTTGCTTTTATCACTTTTTAAATGATCATGTCATCATGGTCGGGCCCCGAGATCTGCGAGACACACTCCATCAGTTTTCTTTGTTTCCACCCCACGCACATGGTACATGCTGAAGGGTTTTTTGGAGGGGCAATACCTTGAGTACAAGCACCCATCAAAACCATGCTGACACAGACAACAAACTTCACTGTTTGATTAGGTTTCTTTCGATCAAGGTTCCTACTCCTACTTGTAGACCTGCAAAACCACCCAATCTATCAACCACCTGGTACTGTTACTTCTGAACCTTGGGAACTCTGCACCTACTTGACACCACCTTACCGACCAAGGCCGCGGCCGCAACGTGTGAGGATCCTCAGGATGGTGGTGGTTGTTCTGAAGACGCTGCGAGATGGGCCAAAGACCATGCAGCGGGGCCTGTAGGCGAAATGACCTTGTCGTTTGGTTCTTCCGGTCTTCGCTTGGTTTTGACTTCCCATGTCAATTCGCGTTCTGGAGCTTCTTGTGGTCAACGTCGCAGGCTGGGTATGCTCGGGGCCTAGTGGCTATTGTGTGTTTTTCTTGCGTTTGACGAAGCATGGCCTGCCGCGCACATGTGGCCACCTTAGAAAGAACAAACAACTGGCCCTGGGAAACGTCTCAATGGCCGCAGTTTGGCCTCTCACTAAGGTAGCAAGAAGACATGCACTTTCAGCGAGCTTCTTCTTGCCGCCACCACACGGTAATTGGAAAGGAGCCCCAAATCCGGGAATGAACATTCATCATGCTACTAGTAACAGGTGCCTTACTAGTAGTAACAAAAAGCTATTAGAATTAAAAATTAAAGTAAATTTACCACCGCAGACAGTTCCGCACCTCTCAGCACCCGAGGCACGGCCTCATTTGCTTCCACCTTCCTCAGGAGGTCCGCAGGCGTGAAAACCACCGACCAAACGTACCCGAGAGAGTCACGAACGGTTCGGGGCATTGATGACTGCGGATTTTCAAGGTGGTGGAAAGGTGTGAAGGTGTTTCAATAGACTTCTTTTGGAGGATATGTGAGGATAGCAAATCCCGGGGGTCGGCGATACTGTGCTGTTGGATGCTGGGTTGAAATAACGTACAATGGGCCTGGGGTGTCCTCAGGAATGTATCCATGCCCAATTATGCCACAGTGTAACTGGATTATGTTGATGTCACACTGTGCTAGACTGCTGAAGAGCTGCAGACTAGGCTGAATCCAGCTGCAGCCTCTGCCAGAACTAGTACTCAGTAGGCCTAAAGGCTGAAGCGTAGACCAAACCGGGAAACCGTGGACGGGTTTACCCTGACTACTATAGTGGATGATTGCTAGGATCCACCGATCCACCGATAGGAATGATTCTTGACATATCTTGATATTGTTTTACCTTCCAGGAGCTACCAGTAGCGGCCTTGCTACTAGTAGCAATGCCCTTGTTCCTAGTAGCGATGCCCTTGTTACTAGTAGCTTCTTGTTACTAGATCGTTCCTGTGGGATGATGTTCCTAAGGTTTTCTTCGTACTCGTGTTGCTGTGTTGATGAACAAGATCTACTGATTCTATAGTGAACAGCGACAAAGCTCTTGATATGGGAACAACTCGTTGGTGTCAAAATATGACATTAGTATGGTATATTATGGTGACATATGGTGACATAGTGAAATCTGTTGGAATTAGATTCAACATTGTTTAAGTTAAGGTAGTCAAAGGCCCAGGATCTTGTTGCAGCCTCCAAATAGACAAACACATGTTCACGGCATCTTGCTTACAGAGGTGTCAGCCTTTGTATCTCTTTGCCCTCCTTTCATTTGATGGTTGCTGCTTTCTCCACCACCCACTTCCTGGTCAGACTGTTGATTTTGGATTCCTGACAGGCCGGACCTATGCCGTTGGTACTGCGAGATGTCGCTTGTTTGACAAGTCGTTGGTCGGCGGGACAAGATCAAACGGGGCAAGTGACAATGACATCCACGGTGTAGGATTTGTGGTGCAAGCTAGGAAAGACATGGCTTGTATAAGTGAATCTAGTGTGGATAGTCCAGAAGGTCCTCATTCTCGCCTTCACATGTTTTGAAGAATGCTGGAATCATCTCATCTCTGCCCTGAGTTGTTCTTGACTCTCCTCGATGACTCGAGAACACTGCCGTCAGAAATGATTCACGTTCGCCACCTTCCTGCATCTTCTGATGTTGTTCAAAGTCCACCCGTGAGGGTTTCGGAACCTGTAGCATGAACTTGCGTGTAGAAAGACTCCTTTGAGTGCACTTTTGAGGGAAGTGGAACATTGTTTCGGGTAGCTAGCAGTAGGAGAAAGCTGCTGTTTTTGAGGGCTTTCCATGAGTTCGCAAAGTGGCTTTGACATGAACTTGCGTGTGCGCATGCAAGCTTGTGATGGCAGCACCCCCAATGCACGCTTTACGAGCCCGCTGGTGACCACCCTGCTTTCAGCCTTGGCAAAACCTCTCACCGCAGTGGCTGGTCGAACGTCCCATGTGAGTTTGACGTCAGACGCTGGACCACAGAAAGACCACATGGGATGACAGGGACTCCACCAATCAACTACATATTGTCGACCTTAGAAACAAGGGCATCGCTACTAGGAACAAGTGCATCCCTCCTAGTAACAAGTGCCTTACTTCTTGTTTCTACTAGCTTCTTGTTACTACTAGTAAGGCACTTGTTACTAGAAGCGATGCACTGGTTTCTACTAGCTTCTTGTTACTACTAATGTCGACCTTTGATTAATAAAGGGATCCGAAATTATATGTACAGGGCGTTCCTCTTTCAAGGGCACTCTGCCAGGGTCCGTGTTGCAGGCGGGTATGACAGTATTCTTCATCAATACGCATGATCAATTGTATTGGATGATTCACCAGTATAGCAAGTACTACACATTGCAGAACCGTCTTAGATCATACTATGTATTTACAACAAGTTTTGTCTACACAAGCATAAGTACCAATCATCATCCAACGAACAAAGAACACACAAATGGCTTCGTCGGAGCCTGAACGCACACAGCGTTAATTGATTGATGTTTCTCCGTCCGTGCTGGATGTGTATGGTTGGATTTACCAAGTGGTCGTTTGAGTTGTTGTGTTGGTTGTTCCCTTTGGTCTGTACTCCCGTGGGTTCCGTTTGAAGGTATGTTTCTTGCACCTTGCCATATGTTGCATTTGTGCCTTGCATGTCTTGTTGTGCAGTGTTGGTTGTTGTACTTTTGCATTGATATGTGGATTTGAGGTTCGATGGGCTCGACGAAACAGAATAAGCTCAGTTCGATCACTTCACATGGAGATCAATGTAAACCACCTTCCGAGATTTGGGCCATCTACCCTACACTGACATTGCATGCTTCGGGGATTTCGAAGCTATCCGAGGTGTCGCCTGTTGGCACACCATGGCGCGGGGGAAGACTTCAGCTCGGCAGAGGCGGCTTCAAGACGTGTTTACCAAGTCCACTCCGCGGTCACACGAGTTACACAATGGAAGTGACAAAAACATACAAAAACCCTATTACTATTTGTAGAAAGCATGTTTTCCAAGGGGCCATGTTACTCTTCCATGTTTTTTGGCTAGAGGGCGTGCCTTGTCACTAGCTGTTGGAGAGACGCCCAATGGCAACTCTTTGGGAGGGACCTTGCTAGCATTGCTAAGCATCATTCATCTACAGCATTCTACGGCTACAAAATGGAAATTCCGAAATACATAGGATAGTCGATAGTTAGATGCTGAGTCGGTAATTGTTTGATAATTCCTTCCGAGCAGGAAACATGTACCACTTATTAGAGTTGAACACGGTTCAGTTTATCAAGCTTCGTTCTTCAAGAAACTGAATCGTCACCACGAAGCCAGTAGAATGACCATTAAAAGAGTCACATGCATCACCACTGTAGGAACAACGGACAACCCCCCTTTGAATCCACAAAGTTCAGGCAGGGGGCTCTCCTTTTGACACACGCCTGTGTTAGGTGGCCTCTGCTTTGACTGCTCAGCACATGGCGCGCTTCTTGCAGTTCCAGGCTTCCTGGACCAGTGTTTGCGCGGTCGGCAGTTCGGAGGAAGGCGCAGGTTGGGATGAAGGCAGGGAAGACTGTGAAAAGATGACCAAGAAGTTCGATAAAGAAGGGTGTGAGTCAAAAATGCAAAACCAATTCATCTTGCACGTGCCCACGGGATGAGTTGACCGTGTTTGGTAGGAAGTCCAGGTTTAGATGTCAAGCAGCCACAGATGTTGGTTTAATCCATAGTGGTGGCTCCTGACCCTCCTGTCCTGACTCCACAAGTTTCTACGAGTTCAACATCACGGAATCATGCCATGCCCTCCCTGTGAAGAACATTGACCAATGGGGTGACCAGACCTCTTGAGAATGAGTTTCCTCGACCAATGCTTAAATCAGTTCATGTCCGAAAGGAACTTATATATACTGGCTTTTCCATCCCTGGGTCCCTTGAGGCTTCCGGCAACTCATTGAAAGCCTTGAGATGCAACATCCCCTGCAAGTCCAACCCACATCCGATGAAGCTACACAGCTCTGATTTGCTTGAGGCGTCACTGAGACGAAGACGATGAGGAAAACTTGCAGGGTCGTGGAAATGCAGGGGGCAGAGCTTCCGTACTGTTGAAGTCCTGTTGCACCAGCTGATGTAGAAGATATCCCAGACACTACAACAGACTGTACGTAGTGATGGGAGCTATTCTCTTGGTTGATCCGTTGGCGACTGAATTGCACTGGTGAGTACCTTCAGTTCTCTCCAAACTTGGGCGGCTTGAATTCAGAACGAACAGAATGGAACAATCAACGCATCAAACCCCCACCAGTACTGGACTGTAGGTGTTTGTTTAGGATGTTTTTGTGTTGTTTTAAGCCCGGGGTGGTAGGCCGCTAGAAGAGGTAGCTACCAGGGAGGTAAGCTACTAGCTACTGGACGCAGGATAGCTTAGATGTTTAGGGAATTCATGGGAACTCCATGCTCCAATCATTTGAACTTTTGTCTAACAAGTGGACGTGGAACCTCCTCTGTAAATGAAGATACAGTCTTTCAAGGCAATATTCTCCACTTCCGCAAGTCTCAGCTTACCCTTTCCCGGCCTTGTTTGCCCCTCCACAAGATGTGAGGGCTTTTATTGATTGTCCTAGTCGGTCGCCCGCCGTTGTCACAGTGCGCCGGGACGGCAAAAAATGCACAGTGATGGTGAGGGTTCCTGTGGCCCGTTGAGGGATTTGATTGGGGCTCTACGACAGGTTTGTTGAGGGATTTGTTGGCAAGTATGGTTGGGAGTGCTGAAGCTATATTTAGTTGAATTGTTTCTCCGAGAAGTAAAGGAGCTAGCCAAAATCAGTGGTTGATCGATGTGTGCCTGCGGTGATGCCAATGTTTTCAATTGATGGAAAAGTGCATCCACGCACTGCAGTCACCCAAGTGATATCACAGAATAGGTGTTCATCCACACCTGTGGTGGAGATGCAGAGAAGATATCGATGAAAATGGTAAAACTCCAAAGTGTTTTCAGAGGGGGCATTGTGGTTTGCAGGAGAGTACCTTGAATATGGAATGCTAGTGAATCCCAAAGAAATACGACTACTGTTGGTTCTTTCTGAGTAGCAAAATGAGAATTACCCGGTGAGATATCCCAAGTCCCTGAACGGAGCGTTTCAATCACTGACCCTGGCAGGGGATCATCCCTGCTTGAAACTTGACCTGAGAAATGCTGGGGTCATGAAATGGATAGCTCAGCCAACCTTATTTTAAACCAGAAAAGAATTTGCAGCATTGACCAAGTTGTTATGTCCCGTAACAGTCGGTAGACAAATCTCACTATTTGGGGGAGAGGCCTTTACTAACCATCATCATCCACTGTTACACGGAATTGGATACACGCAACCTCGTACGCAACCTATTGAGACCAATATACCAATTCTGCTCCACCAAAGCAAAGGAGGCTTGCCCTTCAATCCCCACAAAAAAAATGCGCGCATCGCCCACGCTTGTGTCAGATGTGACAAAGGGACAGAAATATGCGCTCCCTGAGAAATCAGATCGGTTGTAAATCCATTGTAAATGCCTCCCAACCATCCGAGTCAGCGGTCTCTCCCACAACCGACCAACAGACAAGGGAACATGGAAAACACCAAGTTGGTAGAGGGACAATCACCCTAAAGGACGGTAGATTCTTGGTGTTCCAAGGCAATTGTGTGGTTAATGAAGCTGGCCTTGCCATGGGCCTTCTTGACTCTGGCCACTGGCAAGCAGACGCCGGCAGCACTGGAAGCATCCTACAAGGAACGCATCGAGAAGGCTATGGGGGGCATTGAAATATGCTGTGATCGACGTGTGCCCAAAAGTGGTGTCGAAAGAATAACATGGATTTCCAAATGAACCTCTTCAAAGTATCCGAAGGGAGGGAAGGAAGTAAGAATGACCGTCCCTTGCCTGGAAGCCCCTGGGAATCTTCGAAACTTGTGTAGTATGTTCAGGTTTCATGTTTGTTTGGCTACCGTGGTTGAACAGATATCACCGTGTTTGCAATTTTATGGAGTTCGGTGTGTGCAAATAATGAGGCTGATGAATTATGAGGTAGATCCCGGCAGGACCGATGGGCAGAAGTTTCAAGTCATGATAGTTTGTTTCATGTCATGATGTGATCCGCCAGTTCAATGGGCCCAACAAGTGTTTGCAATGTTAGAGGGTGTTGTGTCTCAATGTGTTGTGATGCGATGTTGCACTCTCATTGACTATATCGTGTAGCGATGCGCTGCGGTTAGACTTGGCCAGGGGCTGTTCTCGTTTTGCGTTTGGAGTGGCTCAGCCCTGCCAGTGCAATTTGCATCCTCCCAAACCTTCGCTAGTGGAAACTGCACCACTGATGACACCCCTCCGCCACCTTTCCCGCAATTTCCTCCCCGAAACGAAGTGTGCATGCGCCACACAGACACACACATACACCTTCCCCAGCCCTGACAATGCGTTCAGAATCCTCCAATTCCCTTCCCCCATACAACTGCGCCACACACACACACACACAAAGCCCCTCCGCCAATCTTCCGCGGCCCTCACAACACTTTTTGAGTCCTTTAAATCCATACCCTTCTCTCAGGGCGATGCGAACATCTTTCAAACACCCGTCACCAGCGCTACACTTGTCCGCCACTTTTTATTGCTCGGAACTTTCTCTTCCAAACTTCCTTTGACAAATTTCGACAAAAAAACTGTTTACCACAATACAAGTCTGCAGCCAGTTGAATTCCTGCACCAAACCAGACAAGATCCCAAAACCACTGACCACGAACTTCATCCATTTGTGTCAGGTCTTGAACCGCTCGGCGTCCTTAGCTGCTGAGCACTTGGCACAGCGCTTGTCCTTGGATCCTGGGAGCCTGTTCGGCGGCTACGAGCGACCTGGACTGGCGGGGCGCTGGGAGGGAAACCGCTTAGATCGCTCCGAGCAATGGGTTGTGTTCTTTGTTGCACCCTTCCCATGAAACCAACGCGCAATGGCCTCCAACCTAATGGGAATGGCCTCGACACCCTGCGAGAAGGGGTGTGGACGATATCTTTAAGATACTTTAACAGTGGTGGTCTAGCATTTTTTACGTTCGATTTGGGATAAATGGTCCAGGTTTATTCCAAAAGAGTACCGAGCACACAAAATGCAGCCCGCAAGTGAACTACAATCGACTTACAACCAAATGATCTTCTACATACATCGGGACCCCAAAAGCACTGGATCATAGTGGGATATTATCAGTTTCAAGATGTTTCAAGTCTTGAAAGAGTTCTTCTTCCAACTGCAATAGGCGAGATCCATCAAACCCGGAATCCATTCCCCTCGCCATACCCCAACTAAGTACCTCCCCATGTTTGCAGCTCTTTGACGAGATACCCGTCCCAGTCGTTGCTTTCGAGGCTAGACTATGAGAGGAAAAGTTGGGCGCACGGATGTTTGGGGTTGGTGCTTTCGCGGGATTCCTTGGAGACTCAGAAAGAGAGGTGGAGGATGGGGGAGTGGACAAGGCGGATAAGTGATCCAGAAATACAATACCCGTTTTGAACGACGGGCCTGCGAGGTGTTTTTCCACGAAACCCAGGGTGGGTATCCTGGCATTTTTCGCATGGTCGATGCCCGGGCTTGATTGTTTATTTCAGGACCTACCCTAGGTGTCCCTCTCAAGGTAAACTGTGTGGAACATGTGGTCTTGACTTTCTATTTCTGAAGTGATGCAGGGCTATGCAGGACCGGCATGTTTGCCCATGACCCTCCGGGCATGGTGGGAAGGGAGGGAGCAGCCAGTGACACCACTGCGTGCGGCACTGTCCTGTGGGTGAAAAACTCATCGAGATTCCTCTCACATCCTGATGACATTTTGTTCATGTGCTAGGCCTGATAGGTGACATGCCCAGAACCACGGTTTGCTCCTGTGCCAGTGCCATCCACTCTGGAAATCCAAGTAGGTGGTGGTTAATTGTAACAATCTACTGTCCAAACCTCCAGGCCTAAGACTGCAGTTCCCTGCATCCGCTGGATGTTCAGCCACATCCCTTCATCCCGTCCATGTTCAGGAGAACTGCGCTTTGCGGCAGCTGCAGGCGCTTACTGCTCTGTGTGATGTGCCACTGACCACAGCTGGATCGAGTCGGAGACAGGTGCAGCGACGGCGCTGAACCGGCGACGGTGGCAGGGTCCAGCCTTGGAATGGAACAATATTGGAGGCCATCGCTATTAGGTTGAAGGCCATCGCTAGTAGGTTCTTTAAAGTGTTTTTCTATCTTTTTTCTTATCCTTAAAGTCTTTTACATGAAACGTTTTACATTGTACTTTGTGAATCTCCATCCGTCCACTCCCAGAGTCGCAGCTCCACCAGGTAGTTGAGGACCATTTGATGCGTTTGCTCGCAGAGGAGATCCCGGAGTTGGGGATGAGGCAGGGAGTTGGACAGATGGATTCTCGCTGGAAGGCTTTGAAGCGTCGCAAAGCTGGGGGCCCAATGGATTCAACAACGAAGAGGTAGGGAACTGGACGATGTCAGCCGTCATCAGTTTGGGGTGCTCAGACAGCTGCGTCAAACCATTCAACCATCTACTGTATTTTCCTATGCAGCACCCGTTTTTATAAGTGTTGATATGCAGTTAGGTACACTGAATGAAGGGGCCTCAGATATGGACGCCTTCGTTGCGGTCGATCGACACAAACAAAGCCACGAACGGACAATATGTCATTTTGCTTGTCTATCTTTAAATACTGTATATATAATATACATATGTACAAACAAAGATGTCATAGGTGATTCAAAATGGTTGATGGCTACAGGTGGTTGGAGTAATTAGTACCCGGGTCGTTCCTTAGGTGGGCTTTCATCCCGCAGCTACCTGCTGTTTTCTCTATCATCGACGTTGCTATTGCGATTGTTCCTGCTGCCGCTACTTCGGTCTACTCCGCAGTCTGTCGGTGGAGCAGCAGTGCAATCGACAGCCGTTCAGGCTGCAGAAGACCTCGGCAGGCTCCATTTTCTTGCTGCAGAAGCCCACTGGAGAGGATGCTAGCCCTGCCGTGCAGGCCTCCTTTTGCACGAAGTGCCGTTGGCGATGGGGAGGATGACATTGCAAACAGGTTTGGGTAAAACCTATTGAGCTACTGTCTCTGGGGGCGCAGTCAAGACTGCAGCATCCTGCTGTGGACAATCCGGAAGTCCAGCTGGAAGTGAGGATTTTGGAAGGTAGCTTTGGGGATGCATGTTTAGGAGATCATCAGCAGTATGTTTCAAGAAATGTCATCAAGGTCCAAAGCTGGTGTTCTTTTTTCCGAACACCAATGGAGCTCTTTGATGAGGGTGCATGCTAGTGTTCTGTTCACTCCGGCATTTGCTTCCATCTATGTACTGCAGTGAATGTTACAAGCCTGCCGCTCCTGCTGCTGTGGAATTTCTTTTATGTCATTATGTTTCCGAGCCTAGTAGGTTGGAGGCCATCACCATTAGGTTGGAGCATCAAGCGAGCACCTTCAAAGGGCCAAAGATAGCCATCGCTCACTTCCCGTTACAACGAATTTTACGCTGCCGACACCTGGACCTTGGCCTTGTCTCCGCGGCGTTTGGCGAGGTTCCCCATATCCTGGCACAAGCTAGACATTGGGACATCGCTGACTGTGACGGGTGTGCGTGAACTAGTGAATGCACTACCCACACTCTCCAGCTCGGACCCCTCGATCAATGTACACTATGTATATATACTTGCGGGGCTCACTCAGTGTACCAAAGACCTAGCTGTTCCGCGTACCCTGCAAGACATTTTGTGTTTGTGAATGACTGAGTGCGTGGAATGTCGGCGAGCTTTTGGGACACCATTGGGTCCCTACAGGCTGACAAGCCCAGAGGAGCCACCGCAACACCTGAGCTTGGAAGCGACAGGTGTGTTCGTTTTCAGCCAGCTTTGCTCGGCGGCTTGGAAGGCCGGTTGTCCGATTTCGGCTCTGCATCGTGCAACAGATGAAGGGAGTGAAACCGTGGATATGTGGCATGAACCTAGGTTTGCGCGTGCCAAAATTCCCTCGTTTGCCTGTGGTTTGGGCAAAGCCAAAACGGCTTCACAAAGCGAAGATGAAGCCTGGCAGAAACTTGCTATGACATGGGTCCACTTGTTGAGCGCTTGGTTGTCCGCATCACCCTACTTCAGCCTTCAGCGAGGTTGAAAGCCTTGGTGATATTTTTAAAACAAGCTTCGAGGCAAAGCGCATCTACGGCACATACAGCGGGAAGAGCTCGAACATTTCTTGGGGCAGCTTATTTAGGAAACTCAGCTACAGCTATGGCTGCAGCTCCGTGTGTTTCTTTCATGTTCCACACCTTGCGAAAACCAACTACCAAGTTGCAGCTGCTCCGGGTGGACCAAATACAAGAATTTAAGCCTCTCTGTAAGACATGCTGCGGAAAGGTCGGACATATTCGGACATTCAGCTGACTTGGCAATTGCGGGAACTTGCGGGCCAACCAGTTTCAGCAGTTTTTTTAAACATTTTGGTGCGACAGCCTAAACTCAGGAATGGGAAAGCTTGGGCTCGGCTTTCTTCCTGGGGACCACAGATCGACCTCGATTCAACGGGGTTGCAGCGATCTGACTTGCCCAAGGAATGGGGGTGGCCCATACGCTTGGAAAAGCTATATAGCAGCCCTCGAACTCCTGGCGCAGGCGGTGCTGATTCTACAGAAAGCACCCCCGTTCATACCGTGCTGTCTTGGCACAGTACAGCAACAACATGGCTGTGGTAGGATGCGCGGGGAAAGGTATTTGAGCTTTGAATGATGACCCTCTCTCTGCCATGCTTGCAAGGCAGCTGCGATCTGGCCGTCTCACACCTTGCAGGCGGAATCTAGATGCAGATGCCCTCCTCAGCTGCAGGAACTGCGCTCGCGATGTGCCGGACAGCCTGACAAAGCCTGCTTTCTGTCTTCTCTTCCAAGAGCGCGACGTCCTCATCGAACCAAATCATGTTGAACACCTGTGGTGCAGCTTTCTTGGTGCAGGGCCCAAGCGCCTTTTCCTAATCATGGCAGGAAGGTGGCTGCTACAGGCCCCCCCGGCCGGGTGGTAGCATCAGAGCCGCTCAAACCCACACGAGTGAAGGTCCCCGTACGGGGGGGGGCGCGTCGATTGAGAGATTAGCTGTGCTACAAGAGGCCCTACAAACTTTTTGCAGATCTCCCAAGGTGGGGCAGCGGGTACACTTCCAGGGCGCATTGGTTGCGTCCGTAGCTACAAGTCTTCATGCGCTCAACAAAGCAGCGCTGCATTTCCTAGCATATAGATTCGGCGCAGCTCGGTGAAATAGTCCAGCATACTTCCGTGACTGGGGGCGTGCAAGACGCTTGTTCGTTGCGACGCCGTAGAGGAGGGGCGGTGGTGGAGGTGTTGTGGTTCTTCAGCGAATTTTTGCGCAGGGTGGAGCCCATCCCGCTGGTGGTGGTCGCAGTGGATGCGGGGATTGGCGGGCGGCTTCTATCCCCACGCTGCCACATGGCCGCTGCAAATATTCACCTTTCAGCTACCAGCTGCGCCGGACAGATCTGCCAGATTGGTTTTTGGGTGGGCGCAGATATTCAAGGCTAAGGGCAGATTGAATGCCGCGTTGGAGACGCTCGCCCAGGCGGCATGTCATGCCTGAGGGAGCTTGCCTTTGGAGCGGTAGGAGTGTGTTGTTGCATGCTGACCATTTGGTTGGAGCGGTAGGCGATGGTAGGCGTGTGTTGCATGGGTGACCCTTGAGTGTTGCGTGGGTGATTGGGTGTGTTGCGTGTGACCCTTGGGTGTTGCATGGGTGACCCTGTGGTTGGAGCGGTAGGAGTGTGTTGCGCGGGTGACTTTGGAATGCGTGAAGCTGCAGCTGGTTGATCAGGCGATGGTGGCTACATGTGGCTACGAAGGTGTCCCACGAGTGTCCTGCGAAAGTGTCTTGCGTGTGTGAGAGTATGATGGAGGGCGACATGTTGAACTTGGGCTGGCACGCGCGCGCAATGAGTGGGCAGATTCATTGAGTCATGGTCAAGTACTTTCATGATTTTTAGAAACCAACCGGCGCACTACTGATTTACAGAGCTGCTTAGGCAGCCGTGAGCGCATTCTTGAGCAGGATGGCACCATGTTGGGGCTTTTGGGGGCTTGTGCAGCCTGCCCTGACCAGGAAAAGGACCGCCTGCTGGTGTGGTTGGGATTGGTGGGGCTGCTAGAACTTGATGGGTAGAGTGTTGGTTTTTTGATTACTTGAGGATGCTGGCCCTAACACTCACCCTTCTAGTTTATATGCAGCTGTGCTTGGCTTATGGATGTGAATGGACAGCTGCATCGCTTGAAATCCCAACCCTCCCTCCCTATTCACTGCCCAAGTGCAATGTCAGGTGTGACTGCATGCGTCTGCCAACCAGTGGCAGCCCATGCTTGTGCAGCTTACCCTGACCAGGAAAAGGACCGCTTGCTGCTGGGGCTGCTAGAACTTGATGGGTAGAGCGTTATTGTTTCTTAACTCTTGTTGACTTTGCTTCTTAGGCGGCTCACAATGATAGTGGCTTTGACGCGTGTGAAGAGTTTCTGTGCTTCCTTTGTCACCCAAAACCACATTGAAGATTGAGGTGATAGTTTTTTGTGGCGCTTGTGTGTGTTTTCGCGATTGAACGAGATGCTGACACTGGATGCCTTGGAGATATGCATGTCGATACTTCCGAAAAGAATGTGACGCATGCCCAAGGCATACCAGCAGCTTTGAGACAGGCTTGGAACGTTTAATCTAGCCTGCTTGTGTTTTGGCCGGCTGCGGCTGATGTATTGGACTGACTGCTTGCGCTGTGGATTTGGATGTGTTGGAGCAGCCAACGCCTATGGCATATATGATGCTACTCAGAGATTGGACGGATGGTTTGAAGTCGTTCTGAACAACTGGACAACGAGGAGCCCTGACATCGCTTTCCTGGATATTGGCATACCCCGTGAGTGGAAATCAATTGAATCATGCGCACGCCGTTCTCTGAAATTTGGAAGGTACTGGTGGAAGTGTGGGATCCGTACTGAAGCCACCCACGAGCTTATCTCAGAGCAGAAGCGAAGCATGCGCCGGGTGGTCGTATGTTATTTGAGCTGTGGAACATATGAGCCTCCAGAGAAAAAACGATGTGGTTGGAAGAACTGTGGTAAGCAACTCGACCCATATGTTTCTACCGTTCCACTGGGCGTGCGCCGTGGGCCATAAGGATCGGTGATGAAAAAAAGACAGAACAAAGACCCAGCGCTGATATGACATACACTGTCTGTGTGTAATATGTCATGCTTGTATAGACGGGGCTGTTGCTGAGTGGTTGTAAAGTGTTTTCACCTGTGTGTGGACTTGGCGTGAGATTTGGTGGTATTTGCAGCCAGGCACAGACTTCGCCAGGGAGCGCGGCCGATGCGTTGCCCAGAGGAAGGTCTTTGGACCCGGCATTGTGGGCGGCACCCAACTCTATCAAAAGCCGAATTGGCTGGGTGTCCTTAACCTCGGTCGCGCCGGAAGATTGCTGTTGCCGCACGGTGTTTGGCAGGATAGGGTGCCTTCCGCCCGGTTAGACTTGGGGCTCTGCAGCTGCTGCATCCCCCCATTTGGTGGCAAGCATGCGTTCAAAAGCGCGTAGTTTCTTGGACCTAAAGAGAAGCGGTGTTCTAACGTTGCCAAGTTTGAAGGGATTGCCCCTTGTCGGTTTCTTGTGCATTCAATTTCATTCACCAAGCCGGCCTGCAAAGCAGCCTTGAGACACATTGCCTCCAGACCCCAGTGCTGGAAAGTTCATGGAAAGTTCATGTAGTTTCGCGTGAAACGATCACTTGTGCGCATAGCTTAATGCAGAAGTTTGATTGTCCATAAACGATCATAAACGATGATTCAAAAATGAAGGTATGGATAAGGGACAATAACATGCCTTGCAAGAAAATATTAAGTCCATCAAACTGAGAACACACAGTAGACTCAACTGGTATCCAATGACCAAGATCGCTGCTAAATGTTCTCGAAACGTAACGTTTTCCCAATGCTGCAATAGAAAACTTGCTGAATGTTGCTTGCTGCTGTGCGCCATTCGCACAAAGACGCCGAATTCCAGGTCTCGATACAGACCTAATTCAACCCATTTTGAGCATGCATGACAAAAGGTCACGACTTGTTACCAGGAGATGGCACCAGTGTACATTTGGCGAAACCACATGGAAATCAAAAAAACACACACTGTTCCCAAATATTGAATTGAAAACACCGCAAGTGCCTACACATCGTGATAGTTCACAACATCATGAAAACCTGTGACGCATGTCCTTTCCTTTCCAGAAATTGGCCCAGGGCAATCTGCAGAACCCAAGACAGCACTGCAAGCGCAGATTACAGCCAATCGCCGCAAAACAGATTGCATACACCGCATGATACGAACTTTGAACTTTGAAGACAAAACGAAGTCTTAATGCGAGATTCCACAAGAATTCACGATCTTTACTGGGCAAAAAGGATCGTTATTAAACAAGGCCCTAACAAGGCATGAGGAATCTCCAGCGAACATGCTGCACTGTAGAGGCAAACTGCCACGCTGAGAGCGTAAATCGGAAACAGATCGCGGGCGAACTCTAGATTTGGCAACGAACTTTTGCATGCCAACCCATCGTGCAACCCCGAGCCAAGCCTCGACGAAGAAATTCTTCCGTGTTTGATACAATTTTTAAAGCCTGTATTCCCCTTTTCTCTTCCTTTCAAGCCTTCCAGTCACCTACCTGAGCGCAAAGCGCAAAACTGCACGCAGCGGACAGTCAAATAGTGAGCAAAGCATCTCACAGGCCCCAGTCAGGCTTCCTGTGTGAACGACTATTCTTCTCTCTTCAGTTGTCTCACGATCGCAACCTATGAAGCCTGAATGAAGAAAGACCACAGGGCATTGGACTTTCGAGGTCGAGAAGATGAAGGAAGCAAGAATGCATGAAAAGACCAAATCGGGCTGACACTTAAAGCATTCGATCAGCAAACCAAAACTCATGGAAGGGTCGAAGAAGCCCAGGGAGTGTGTTCAGAAAAACCTGTAGAGGTCAACCAAAACTCATGGACAGGCATCAAATATTGTTGTGTTTCCGCCTTTCCTTGAGGCCTCACTGCTGATGGCAGCCGTTCGCTGCGGGGAGGCCTTAAGCTTGAAGGTGCAGCTTCTTGGCAGTGAAGCAGGCGATCTCCTTCTTGTGGTTCGCGTGGTTCTTCAGGATCTTGCATGCTTTTGGAGAAGGAAATAGGCATGCTTTTGGAGAGCACTGGTGGGTGTCAACTTACCAAGCTTGCTAGGTGATGTGGGTCTCCCTCCTCGACCAATCCGGTAATAAGAGTGGATGCCCTGAACCAATGGGGTTGACTTAGCCGACTTAGCCTGCAATGGAATTTCCCGACTAAGCTATGATTTGATATGATTTTTGGGTGTTCCTGAGCATTCCAAACGACACCCGCATTTGATCTGAATATTTTGGCAGACTATGGGTGAGGCATATCGTTTGATGCTTTACCATTGTTTTTGCCCGGATGTTTCCAAGAAGGGGTCCACCGTCGCTGAGTCTTGCAAATCCAAGGCTGGAGGAGGCTTCTGCCTGGTTTCAAGGGCTCAGTCGCTTGGAGAGGTCTTGATGTCCACTAAGTCAGTCGGTGATAAGCATGATAACACAGTTTGGGAAGATCACCACTGGTATGTAGCATGCCGTTTAGTCCATGTTTCCTGTCGACCACACTTGTATTCACAAAAGGAAGGTCGTTGCTCAAAACCCTCCTGCGCCCGCCGAACTGTTTGTTTTGAGGACTTTGCGCCACCTGACCTTCCCTGGTTTGCGTCCAGGGTGAAGCCCACGTCAGTCCCCAAACTCATGGACTGGAGTGGATGTGTTCGTGAATGTTCCTCACTTGTGTGAACCCCAGGGCCACAAGCCATGGCTACCAGCCATGGCTGCCGGTGGTTTGAAGGAATCATGAGATGCGATTCAGGTAGCATTTATCCTGAGAATCTCTGGAAAGAGTCCTTCAGCTCCTTCCACCGCGCTGGCATCACTTGGGAAGCCTTAGCGGTGACCAAGCGGCACATTGGGAAAGACTCCAACTTCCACCGTGAGCTGGAGAATTATTTGCAGCTTGGCGAAAAATGCAAAGACATGTACTTGAGAGCAGTGTATTCTAAGTGTTATGCGGCCTTGTCCATCAACCATGGCTGTGGAAAATCGTGCTCGGGTGTTTACGCGCTACGTACCACGGGTGCCCCTTCAGAATACAGTAGCATATTTGTGCGGAGGCTAGATTCTACTTTTCACCTGCAAACCACACAGTTCATATCACACACAAGTGCTTCTTTTACCTATACAGACAACAAACATCGAGGACTCTATTCAATTATCTCTTTTTTGTTATTCTTTCAATTCGAGAGACATGTCAGATGTCACGTAACCACAGTTTCAAGCCCACCAGAGCCGTGAACACAGACCAGTGTCAGCAGAGTGTGGTTGCGGACAATCCAAACACTTGAAGGTTTCGAATACGCCAAACCCGTCCCGCGCTATACGCCGTAGCGTTAGCCGTATACGTCGTAACGTCATACCAATATCATACCAATTTAACCGTGGTGCGTTAGGCATGTGCTTTTCCGCCTCTGGAAGCTTGAAACCGTGGAGACACTAGTAGCGTCCTTGTTCCTATCTGGAAAAATCCTCTTGTCAGTTGCTCTTTTGTTCACTGGAGTTTTGCTGATTCTTGACCCGCTATCCACGTCCGCCTCACCAGCTTCACAGGCATCGCTTTGAGCTCTTCTTGCGTGATGTGTGGGAGGAGAACAGCGGCTTGGCACGATCTGATCCAAGGACTCGGTGGCCTCGGTGTTTTCTAGGTCCACTAGTTGTCAAGAATCACATGTATATCCTTTGAGAAGCCATCACTTTGGGACAAATCCAATTGTTTGATGAATCAGTCTCCGGCATGAACAAGAGCAAGATTCTTGCAGATAGCAGAAGAAGTGGGAAAAGAAGAAACATGGGAAAGAATGATGAAACGCAGGAGGTGGAGGAGGAGGAGAATGAGAATTAGATTGTAGGCGGGAAATATAGTATGATCTTCTGAAAACATCATCTTAAACCTATGCTCGGTGAAAAGAAAGCTGGGTTGCTGCGGTCGACAAAGGACTTTCCCTTAAGCTCACGCCACCTTTGGCTTATCCCACCAGTGCTCAAGCTGAGGTCACCAGACGGGTGGGGAATGAATGCTTCAAACAAATCTTTGAGGGCCTAATTCCTCATAGGTTCTACAAGAACCATCGTTCTTCTATAAATTCATGGATTATACTGTACTGATGAGATGTACCCATAGGATGCCAATTTAGGGGTCAAGAGGCAGGTCGCTCAAGACTACCAATGGCCCAAGCATCAACAGGCAAAGCCCCAGAGTCATCAGTTCACAACAAGCTCAGAACCCTTCAAAAGCAAGGGGTTCTGAGCTTGCGAGTATTGGTTCAGCTTAGTTCTTTATGATCTATTTCTGGACCCATACCAGGCCAGCCTCGTGTGGCTTCTTTGGAGAACATGTTGCTCCGAAGTTTGAAAGCATACCTCATCAACTGAAGACGTTCAGACACATACTTTCGGCATACCTTCGGCTAACCACCGGTGTACGCGCTGACATGCATACCTCAACATTAGCAATCACTTTCCCAAGTTTTCGCAGCCTTTGCACGTTCGCTTTTTGCCAAACGAGGTGAGCACTGGTCCTTTGCCTCCGCTCGCGCATTGAGCGTTCGTTTTGCCGCCGCCAAGACGCCAAGTCGCACCCGTGATCGACCAGATGATGGGCGATTGGGGTGCATCAGGGAGGGTTGGTTGTTCATATGTTGTCACTCATAGTGTACATTTCCTCAGGCGCTATAGTGTGTTTGATTTCTAGATTCTACTAGCAGCTCCAACACCTGTTTTGGCTCAGGGATGTGGATTTGAGGTGGTGATCGCATGTCATCGCAGGCCAAGTTTTGGAACGAACGCTGTGGATCGTCCAGCGAGCGACGCTTCCCCATGAAACGATGCGACGAATAGGAGATATCCACAGAAATGATTGCTTTGGGGTGGATGTTTGTTTTTGTCGACGGTTGATGTTCTTGGAAGGTTGGTTTGTTCTGGGCATTCCTGTATCCTGAGATTGTGCAAGACTCTGCAAGACAGAACGAGGCCATTCAGTTGGCTTTGGCTTTGATTATCATGCGTTTTCAAAAACGTTGGGGGAAGGTTGGAAAGCAGTGAAAGCAGTTGCTAAATTGAACAACGTGTCGTTTTGATTTCCTTTGCCAGGTCGGCCTCCGCCTTCCAAAACCAACAAAGATACCCACTGGGCGTGGTTCGAGCCCTCCCAGGAAGAAGAAGGCTCGGAGCCGCTTTCGAACCTGGGCCAGTGAGCATGTGGACCGCTTCCTGGGGCGGCAGCATTTGCATCTAAAGGATGGTCCTGAGGGCCTGTCCCAGGGGATCCTCGCTCGGCACCCTGGAAGAACGTCGCCAAGGGCGGTTCTTTAAGGGGGGTGAAGGCATCCAAGTTATAGGATGCAAAAGATCAACCAATTAGCAAAGGCCTCCAGCTTAAGAGCGATGGCCTCCACCCTGCTAGCGATGGCCTCCAACTTAGAATCTAAAGATGAAAGATCAAATTAATGTCGATGAAGTGATTGAGATGTCTGGGACATTTCGGTTCAGCTGGCCTGAAAGTGTGGAAAAGTATTTTGAATTTAGAAGAATTGGTTCTTAGTGGTTATGTTTGCGGGCACCGGTCCGAGATGAACTACCAAGCAACGATGAATTCAGGGTCACGTTTAGACTCTAGAGGTGGACTACTCTGGAATCATAGCCGCTAGCAGGGTGTAACATGGTGTAACAATGAAAAGGGACCCCCTTTCAATCCTTTTCATACTGTACATGAAAAGCCCCCTTGTTGGTTGGACCAACTGCGGCATTGAGCGTCAAAAGACACCAGTATGCGAATGGGCCCATAGTTCTCCAATCATTATATACTGTTCCATGTGGGCATGTTTCATGTGGACCTCAAGAAGATGACCGTTTTAGAAGAATTGTGTTTGATGAAGGCCTCCAACAAAATGGCCCCACATGTCCCAAAATCTCAGCCAGGCGCAAACAAATCTTGGGGTCTCAGGATGTGCTCATTAAGCGTCCGAACGCTTTGGCTAAAACCGCACCTACACGCTACATGACCCCAAGCAACCCACAGCTCGTGTGGATGTGCAAGGATTGGTGGCGCTCGGTACACCTGCGGGCCCTTGCAGGGCTTGGCTTCGTTGGCCGCCATTCTGAAGGATGCGGAGCTAATACAGGCAGTATGGGGGTGAGGGCTTTGACCAGTGGCCTGGAGTTTGTTGAGGATGTAGGAGTTGGTCAACCTGAAACCACCTAAAGCATCCTAAAACCATGTGATTGGGTGATATTGCTGAGGATTCTGTTCAGTTTGCTCTTTGTTTCCCGGGTCCGGTCTTGGAAAAAAACCATAGCCCTGGTGTTCCACTTTGGGACCCCGTGGGTCGACCACAGAGAATGCTTGACATCGAGAACAACAATAGCGTCCTTGTTCCTAGTAGCGATGCCTTTGTTCCTAGTAGCGTCCTTGCTCCTAGATCGAAAGAAGAGTCAAGAGAGCCCATAAGACCATCATCCATGAGTCAGATATGTCAGATGGTGCTTCAGCTGAATCTCATTAATACATATTATGAATACTAAGGACCAATCTGTGGCAAAAAGTACATGTCACAGTGAGTGTATCATGGCGTTGCTGTAGGAACTAAACGAAGGGTTGATTTGTTGATAACTACTATAGACTACAGTCACTGGTTCCAAAAAACGGAGCGGCACCAGAGACCTTGTCAATGGATTAGATGTGTTTCTGTTTGTTTGGAAAACGGTTTGTTTCGCTCTTATGACGTCCCAAACTCCTTAGGACCCAAAAACTAATGACGTGTTTTACTGGTGTAATATTTATTTGGGCGATATGGTTTTTGGATACAAATGTCAATTGATTTCAATACATGTGTTGATACACATGTCAATACACAGAAATGTCTCGAGCACATTCAATTCGATCCATATTCTGATGCTCGTTTCAAGACACATGAAAACCTGTGTCAATATAGTAATATATATACATATATATATATATAGAAGAGCCAGACCCAGCAGAAAAGCGTAACTACAGTTTTATTTAACAAAGGGCCGTATTTTTACAGAAGGGCCGCAATCTAGTTCAATATATGGGATAGATCTAAAAGCAAGGCACGAAATGGACCTAGGTATATCTATATAATATATATATATATGTCTAGGAATGCACACGTGCTTTAAGCCTATTGTGAGCTCATAGTGGGTTTGTATCTCTTGCGTAGTTTCATTGCCCGGACGACCCTTCTTAGAGGCGGTTCAATGTCTTGAGACGTTCTTGGCTGGGTCAAATGCTCCTGCAACTGTCTCAACACTTTGCTAAGCACACAGTTCAGTTTTGGTGACTGGCAAGACCCACCCGTTCGTGCTTTCCAGGTTCAAAACTCTAGACCAATTTGGGCTGCACTGGGTGTGTGTTCTTGTTGTTCTGCCCCAATGGGGACTCACTTCAGTGCCCAGATTCTGCAAAAGGGAGGGGTTCACAAAGTGAGCCACTTGACTCTTCAATGAAGGAGGAAGTGTGCCAAAGGCAATCCGAAGACAGGACCAACCAACCATGTGGGAGTTGTTCTTCCCCAATGGGGACTGACTTCAGTGCCCAGATTCTGCAAAAAAGGAAGAGTTCATGCTTGACTCTTCAATGAATGAGGAAGTGTACCAAAGTGTATATCTATACTGTACATAATCATCATGTCCAAATCCATATCCTAATCAGTATTTGGAATTATATCATCCAAGAACACCATATCACATTGCCATAATAAAACCATGTCCATACAACTTGAAAACTATTGAACCTAAGGCTTGTAGATATCGTTTGATACCCGAGTCATCGTCGCTAGGTTGTGCTTCAACTTATGGAGAAGGACATCCGCCGCTATCAGCTTTCCGACTCTAACCTGGGACCTTTACAAGGCTCCAATGAGGAGTTCGAACTCCTCTCCTCACACCTGGAGGGGAGCTTCTTCCGGGACGAGGAGCAGCTGCGGTTGGAGGATAGGAAGACTTTGCGGGTGGATGATACCGCGATGTGGCTTGGAGAATAGTCTTGAAATTTGATGCATGGATGATTGTTTGAAAAACAAACGCTTCCAATCAGCAGTCATGGAATGTCATGGTAGCTTTTCTGATGGATGCTGATACGATGATGATGAAGGACAGACTTCTCCGTGGCATGTCACAGGAGTAAATGTGTTTCCCACTCCTTCGAGACTTTTATGCTCTTCTTTACAGGACTTTGTCAGTTCCATTCAGAAACAAGGGTACTTACAACTCACATACACGATTTTGGTTGAAAGGTGCAAAAGGTTTTGTTCACTCTCCAAACGCAATTGGTCGACTGAGAGATTGGGCATTCAAATCACCCACCGTATTTTGGAGGAAGCACACCGGGTTTTCCTGTGGTTTCTGTCGGTGGATCCCTTGCATACCCCAAACAGCTGCGGTTGGTGAATGGGCCAGGTGCCTCATCGCAGTGAGCCAGATGCTGGAGACGATGAAATCCATCAAGTCGGTGGTGGCTTGGGATTTCTTCATAGGGAGAGTCAGCTAGCTAGCACTCTAAGGATCTCTAGGGTGTGAGAGAAAGAACTGAGTGGCCCAGATGATTTCTGTGGAAAGTAGATGTGATGAGTCTATGCCCTTTGCTCCTAGTAGCGTCCTTGTTCCTAGCGATGCCAGGAGCCCCTAGTAGCTTCTTGTTACTAGTAGCGATGCCCTTTCCTCCTAGTAGCATCCTTTGCTCCTACTAGAAAGGCCAGGAGCCCCGTTCGTAGCGTCCAGCCGGGTTGGGTTCGACAGATCCGTGGAGTTTTCGGATCGAAAGGGGTGGGAAGAAGGATTGCGCTTCGCGACAGCTGGACAGAAACGAACATGGAAATTAAGACCGAAAAAGGACATCCTCAAGAGTGAGAGAGTCAAAAGCACACTTGCAAGCTGACCAATCGACTGGAGGATGGTTGGGTAGGCTATGTTCGATCCTCTCCCGGTTTGACAAGAGAAAGAATGAAAAAGTCACAACAAATGGAACTCACCTTCGTTGGATAAATTGGATTTTCTCCACCGCTTGCTCTCGCAGGTAGTGGATGAGGGACCGCCCCGCGAAGACTTGTGACGAAAAGGACGATACGCAAAGCTGAGGAGTCCCTAGTAGCGAGCCCTGCTCCCAGTAGTAAGGCCAGGAGCCCCTAGTAGCGTCCTTGCTCCTAGTAGCATGGCCAGGAGCCCCTAGTAGCTTCTTGTTCCTAGTGTAGCCACGCGTGGATTCGCAAACAGGGCATGCTGAATTGCCGACGGTTTAACTTTTTGCTTTTGATCACACAGTGTTTGTGTGTGTGTGTGTGTCAACCCCTGTCTCCAAGGGTTACTTCCTACCAATTGTACTACCAAGCAGGGGAGTGGAGCAAGCCTGCAGAGCTCCACTTAACAAAGCTCTCTGCAGTGTCCTGAGGATATCGGCAAGGACGCTTGCCGACGTACCTGCACAAGAAACTGTTGCTCACGCTGTCCAATCTCTCTTTTTGTTTCCATGGTAGTTCATGATACTTCCCCCAAACCATTTCCCTCCGCCGCTTTCAGCTGCCGCGCGCTGACCGCTTGCGAGTGCCTTTCAACACGATGTTCAACAATACTGTTTTTGCGGACTCATGCACCTTACCGTTCCCTCACCTTCCTTCTCAGCTTGGGAATTGAGTTAACAGCAAACCAATGTCAGAGTGTGAACCGCTCAGCCGTCCCACTTGGGTGCTGGGTGTGCAAGGAGGCGCCGTTCTCATGCCGGAGATCGTGTCACAGATTCATCGCTTTTTCATCGTGAATTCTCTTAACAGCCTTAGTCTCACCACTGAAATGACGGACTCTACAGCCGCCGGGCTTTCACGGATACCACAGCTGCCGGGCTAAAAAACGGAATTCAACCCACTTGAAGCAGGTTTCCCAACCCCCCTCCCTACCTAATTAGGGTAACACAGGGAAATGGTACTCGACACACTTGTGTGTCGGTGCCTTTCCCTTTGTTGTCCCTGTTCTAGTCTTCTCTACCCGGGCGGTCTAAGACTAAAGTCCCGCTCCCTAACTATTGCATTTAATTCACCTCCGCTAAGTAAACAGTAATTCTAGAGTACTAAGTATTCATACACACACACACACACGGACACACACACATGTACATACACCTCCCTCCCCCCCCCGCTTTCTTTCTTGCGCTTTTGGTCGTTTCTTGGGCTTTCTCTCAGGCTTTTTAGGTTGCTCTTGAGGCTCGTTTCCCTACCCCAGTCAAGGGCTAAGTATTCACTTTTTTTCTACTCCTACCTTTCTCTCTTGCCCTCTTAGCGCTGCTCTTTCTGTGTTTCTTTCCTTTGTTTCTAAGGCTTTTTAGGTAACTATTCAGGCTCTTCGCACGAGCGCCGCAAAGTGGCACCGTGTGTGCGTCAACCCCTGTCTCCAAGGGTTACTTCCTACCAATTGTACTACCAAGCAGGGGAGTGGAGCAGGCCTGCAGAGCTCCACTTAACAAAGCTCTCTGCAGTGTCCTGAGGATATCGGCAAGGACGCTTGCCGACGTACCTGCACAAGAAACTGTTGCTCACGCTGTCCAATCTCTCTTTTTGTTTCCATGGTAGTTCATGATACTTCCCCCAAACCATTTCCCTCCGCCGCTTTCAGCTGCCGCGCGCTGACCGCTTGCGAGTGCCTTTCAACACGATGTTCAACAATACTGGTTTTGCGGACTCATGCACCTTACCGTTCCCTCACCTTCCTTCTCAGCTTGGGAATTGAGTTAACAGCAAACCAATGTCAGAGTGTGTGTTTGTGTGTGATGTCCTGTCAATAGAATAGAAAAGCGCGTCGAAACTTTGTTGTTTCTTTGGCATCCGGCCCTTGTTATGAGAAGAGCCCCCCCGATTTCGAAGAAAGGAAGCGATGTTGACCGCCAAAAGTGTTGCAATCGGTCCCTTCACTCAAAGGCAAAGGCAGGCTCATCTCCAGGGTTCTGCCCAGAGTTTGGCTGCGGAAACAGCTTGGCTCAAAGTATCTCGTGCTGCAACAACCTAAAAGCTTC